AATATCATGCATTGTTGAACCATTCCGAAAAAGAAAAACAAGAATTCACGAGTTATCTCCTCGTCCGTCAGAACAGATGTTGCCTTTCATAACCCTTCTCGCCCCTTCCCTTTAAAGCTGATAATTTTTTTTAAAGTTTTAAAGGGAACGTATCTTCTTCTATCCTACACGTGTTGTGTAACTTTAAGAAACTAACAAATTTATTTTCGTACAAAATTAATTCGTTTTTGCTAATCATATCTTTTAGCTGTTTCGATAAAAACAAAATGTAGAAAACAACAGATGGATAAAGCACCGTAATCTGTATATAACAAGAAATTTTCTTTTTTATTTTCTAAAGACTTCTCTAATTAGGACTTAAAAAAAAAGTAAATATACAATTAGAGAAAAATAAACCAAGGATCACGGGTGAACTTCTTCTTGTGAGACGAATCGTGTGTGTTGTCTGTCGCCTAAGTCCACGCGCGAACAGTCTCCGTCATGTTCAATTAGTCCTCGTTATCGCGGCTTCTGACTCGCGCAGGAAGAAGGCGTGATGTGTCGCATAACATAGAGGAGGAGGAGGAAGGGATAACATTGACTTAAATGCAGCTGAGATTTTTTCGACGCGCGCGGAACACTCGGTACGCTCGTCTTCGCGTGTCGGTCTTACGGTGCATCGCGACGCATAATTGCATTTGATACGTTCCGCTACCGCAGCTCGCAATCGTAACTCAGGGCGCAACACGGGGCGTGAGAATTCCCAGGTGTACTTCCAAAATATTCCAATTTTCAGACACCGCCGGTGAAATCGGGATAATTGAATAGTCGAAACGCTAATTTAGATAAAACAGATTGTCGGAGTTCATTTTGGACGTAGACACTTCCCCACAATTATAGTGCATTCGATAGAACTACATTTTCAAATCGCTTAATTAACCGCAGAATCTCTGTAGCTAAAATTTCTACCTCGATTTTTATAAAGATACAAAAAAGTTCTTACACTTTCAACGATATGTTTCAGTTCGTATTTATATTAGTGCAGAATTTTTTTACATGGTATTATATTTTGTTTTATTGTAAAAATTAAATATAGTATATTATATATTAAAAATAGACGTATTTATAAATCGGCCACACAAGAAGTGCTTCAGATTCCAAATTGACACATGTGCTTATTCAAAGGTTAATTACAGAATTATATGTGCAGACATAGCTGGCAAACCGCTAGTCCATACCTTTATAGATCGATATGGATATACGTAATTATGTTTGAATATAGAATTACCGTTAGATTGATCCGATGTAATCTGGTATAATATAGGATCGGAATAATATAGAATTCGATTCAGATACATTCGAATATTTGGAATATTTGTATAATATTTTAATGCTACTAGCATACTTTAATCAAACGTTTTATACTTTAATTTGATATAAAAATATTTACACTTCAAATTTTTCCCATTAAAAAAAAAGATAAAAAAGAATTATAATATTCTAAATTAAATTTTAGTGTGAAAATCAATCTACGTCGTTTTATTTTTCGTAACTTAATGTAATAGTTGCCATTTTGAAACAATGTTGAAAACAATGAAAATAAAACATAATGATGAGCCAATACTTTATATTTTTAAGATATTGGAGCTTTTGGAACAAAATAGCGGTATAAATCATTTTTTTTCATTTTGAAAAACATAAAAGTTTTCGTCAGAAATATACCTGTTGTAAAATTCGATCACTTTATTGCAATACTATTTTTATGATTCAACAAAGCAAACAATCCAGCATTTTATACCATTCCAGAAACACGTTTAACGGAATGTCGAACTTTTATTTTTACTGCCTTATGCCACGCTATTTCGTCCAACGTGCCTCGTACGCTATACAGCTTCATAAAATATTAAAATTTCTTTGACGTGAAACATGAGAACGCGAACACGACTATATGCTATTCAAGATGCTAAATAATAAGTAACGTTGTTACGCACCTTCGTACGTGGATCAAGTAGTTAAAGCCACGAAACAGTCAACTGTGCGATTTTGCTGTTAACATCTCTTTATATCTCTGTTGTTCCAAGGTTTTAACTTAGGATTCGATATTTAATCGATAGATAGATTCTATGTTTCGAAAGAGTTTCGTGTCCGGTAATCCTTCAAGATTACTATTATTTTAAAATTACAAGATACGAACCGCTAAATATCCACTACACAATTTACTACAAGTTTAACATAAATCCATCCAGCGTCATTGCAAGCGTACGACTGACCTGCCATAGCATGGATTATGGCTTATATAACGAATGCTAAGGGTGAGTATATAGTCTCTATCGATTTCTTAAAGAATGAAAAATGATCACTGACGTTGACAACTGGTCGAGTGTCAAGGTGCAAACAATAGTGACTTCCGAGGCAACATGACCTATACAGGAGTCGCTTAAAGCACAGTGAGAATAAAGCTAGGTTCATAGTAAAAGGGCACGTCTCTGCAGCATCGCGTCAGCGCCCATTTATCGCGAGACACTGTATTTCATCTGCAAAACGCGTCCTACTCCATTGCCAGAACATCCCACGTCGGAATGCATGCTATTTCTAAGCGAAAAGACAACGGACTGCATTAACGTACAAAGATTTAGAAAAACCGCAATAAGAAAAAATGTAAAAAAAAAAATGTCTATCCTCTAAGATCAATCGTAATAAAAAATTCACATGTTCTACAGCTTAAAGCTAAAACAGCTTAATAAATATCAAGTCTTTTATTTACAAGATATAATCATTTTATTCTCTATCGCTCTATTCTCCTCCCCTTGATATAGTAGAAGAGAGAGTTAAAATTTATTGTATGTGTGGAATGTCAATCATTTAATTGCATTCGTTGCACGTCGCCTACACGTTCCGCATTATAATTCTGAGTTTAACTTTCATTATTGAAAGTAAGTTTGGCTAAAACTGGCCTTCGTTAATATTAAAGTAAACGGACATTTCAATTTAACACCTCTATCTATTCAAGCCCTATACTAGCTGCTCCTACGCGTAACGCCATCGTGTATTACGCCCTTATCGATTTTCTTTCAACTGGAATAACTCGCGCTTGCCATTTAGTTGCAACGGCTGTTTAAAAATAGCATCGAATTATTAATTGGCGTCGATCCGATGTCTATAAACCGTAATAACCCACATTCACCCGCAGGAAGCAAGAATCTAGCGTTTCGATTTTTTCGCTCTGATTAGCGTCTCCTGGTATACGGCCGATCTTTTTTTCCATGCGTCCCGATTATTTTGTTCTTTTAAAGATTTTCCTTCAACCCGAAATGATTTAATCGTGTTATTCACGCAATCCTTTTGCATCGAGTGCAATGCTCGTTAAACGAAAGATCACGTTACTTTATCGCTTTGTAAAACGGAGAGAGAGATTTATTTATTCTTTTGCTTTTCCCTTTTTTTTTTTTACGACCGCGAGAAGGGAACGACCTGTGCATTTCGAGGAGCGTAACGAGCTTATTCTATCTCTGAAACAGGGAGAAAAAAAAATATCTTCGTGGATGATCGCGTTTGACAAAAAAAATGTAAAAAGTCGCGTGTATATATGCATCAGCTGCGACGATCAAACGGCTAAAGCGATTGAAGCAACCTGTACGTTTGCTACATTTGTACCCATTTGATATCAAACATTTGCTCTTCCGTTCCGCAAAATTGTGGGAACCCGAGCTGATTTAATTCTTCCGCGGATATAAAAAAATTTTCTTTAATGGAGAATAATATTTAATAAAAGAAGATCTTTAATAAAGAAATTATCATAATTTAAAAGTTTATTGTTTCAATGCTCAAAAAATCAATCAACAGGGATAAACGTAATTCGAATTTTTTGAAAGAGTAACTTTAGAGATCGATATCTTTATTAATAGACGACAAAAATACGAATTTTATATTGTCATAGACAGTTACCAACATCGATATCGATATCGATATTGATATCAATATCAAACCCACGTTTACAATAACAATGAAGAAATTTTAAAACTCCACAACGTATACTTGATCCATTTTTCACCGAAATTGCGTTTAACACGAATCGCTCTGTTAAGCCCTTGATATACGATATATTGCAATAAAACATATGTTATTGTTTTTGCAAGTGTATATACGAAAAGAAATCATTTTTCATTAGTTTGCGTGCGTATGAATAGAAATGTAATTTAATAAAACTTGAAAAATCCGAAATTTTTCTCTGCCACATTCCATAGGATTAATTCGAGGTATTTTTCACGTCTCGCTATATCGCAAAGAACGGTCGGCTTTTTGGTTGTATCAGCAATTACCAAACACTCCGCACACCCGTTGCAGCACACGCAAACACATACATATATGCAATAAGTACAACGAATATATGTGTGTGTATATATATGTATATGTAGTTATGCACTCGGTTTCTCTATATGCCACTACTATTGTACAGCATGACTAATTATACTTCAGCCCGCGGCAGATCTCGTTGCACGGCTTCACGAGAGGCGGAAAGCACCCTATTAAACCTCAGGCTTCGGCCACCCTCCGCGCGAACAAGAAAACCGCGAGACGTCAGTACGACTACGCCGGGCATAAGAAAGGAGCGTTCGTGCACTCTAATCCTCGATCTTCCTACTTTGTTTTACAGCCGTTTTCTCATTCTTAGTGGTTGGTTTAGTCTATATTTGGTACTCTTTTTAAGAACGAGATATAAGCGCGCGTATTTACTTAATACTTGCAGCAATTTTTAATATTTTTCAAATAATGAAATACGTTTAAAAATTAAAAAAAATAATAATAATAAATAAAAAGATATTTCTAATTGCCATTTTCTAATTAGAGCTACTTTAAATAAAAAAATGAGATTTCAAATTAATCAACGTGATATTATGTATAATGTAATAACTTAAAAAAAAAGTTATAGAAATAATTTTTTTTATCTTATGTGTGTGTGAAGCGCTAGGAAGCGATAGGAAGGGTATAGGATATGCGAAAAATTAGGACGCCATCAGTTACGCTTTTAATCTTTTAAGTATTTATTTAAACAAATCCCAACATTCCAAACATTGATAGATGTATATACGTGTGGGTGCGTTTTTGTGTTTGCGCTTTCCATAAACATAATATAGATCATGGCAGCATAGTCGGATATCCCTTTAGCTATCTGTATTATGTCCATAGCATCTCCTTACTTTTTTCGCTTGTTAATTCTGTATGTATACCCACTGTCGCAAAAGTACCGCCATTTCTTTCATCTACGGATCCTCTAATTAAGTTGCTTTCTCTCTTAAAGGACTTAATTGAATGTCTTTAAATCTTTTACATCATTTTCTAAATATCCTGAAAGATAAGAGGTTTTCTTCGTCATTAGTAGTTTTGCTAATTATCAGCTTGGTATTCCAAAAAAATCATCCCTTTTCGATCATTGAAAACTCAACGATGGCTTGAATTTCAACATTTCCATCGAGAAAGAATCGAGTTCCGATCGACTGAAGAATTTGCAAACGAAAGGAACAGCGGTAGTAAACAGCTTTGACGAGGCTCGATCATCACCTTTGCCTGCCGCGCAAATGACAATGAAACTTAACCATCTCCACGGGGAGGTACGATGCAAATGAAGCTAATTTAACGATCGTATCCAAATTCGACGAACAGCTATCTGTTTACGTAGCACTTCTCGAATCGATCGCAAACGGTTCCTTTGATTTATAAAGCGCGTTTCAATATTCGCTCTCAATTATCTTTATATACGCGATATACACACATATCTTAACATCGTCAGCGTTTCGCCGCTAGACGATAATGCACGCGAGTGCAATCGAATTAATTATGGCAAGGTTCCCCGTGACTAAGTTAATTAGGAGTTAGGTTACTTACGGTGTGGCCCCTCGCGCGATTTCTCTTCCTCATTTGCTCGAAAAGTCTTACGGTCGCAGGGGTGCTTACGACGCTTGTCCGTCTTCTTTATTTGATGCTTTTGCGAAGGACATATTGTTTCGAGTCGCAATTCAATGCTTGTTCTGGTTTTCGATTACATTATTCCGTCAAGAAGTATTGTGCGTTCCATTACATGCGTAACAATGCGACAAATTAAAATCAAAATTTGCCCAAGTCCAAAAACTTCGTATTTTATTTTGAATATAAAATGCGTTTCCCCAGTTTATATAGTATTTTAATATTAGAATCTTTGGAAAAATTTTGCATCAATATTTAATACTAACTTCTTAATATTAATCTTTAAAGTATTGCCTGGTAAATTTGGACTCTAGATGCCACTTACCTAATCTGTAACAGTTTTGAAAGATAAAGAAAAGATAAAATAATTAAATTGAAATCGATAATTAAATCGAAAATAATAACATCGTATGTGTGTATATATATATTAGTAACCAGTTTGACACGTCTAAGCACCCCAGAAAAAAACATAAATTAGAATGGATCCGAATACTTTTCGCCTTCAAACTATCATATTTCCAATATTGCATAAAATTTACAATGTACAGGTGACTCTCAAAGGGTTGAAACTTTAACTCGTCCTTTATACTAAGCTTTGTTATTATTTAATTATGTAATTATTTAATTATTAAAGGCTGAAAGTAAACTGTATTGTTATGACAAAAATACAATTCTTGTTATAAAAAATAAATCTGTTGTAGAATCTGTATGGAATTCACTAAAATAGAAAGATACTTTTAAATAAATTTGAGCAAGTAAAAACTTAAATAAATATTTAGTGGAATAACTTAACTTTAAGCGTCTGCACGAGTAAGTTCATCTACAACTAGAAATTCATTTATATTACAGGACAATCTCCAATTGGTCGAAAGTAGGAACTCTTTATCTAAACGCTTTTCTTTTATAGCAGTCGTCAAAAAGTTGTAGCAAATTTATAACTTTCTGAAACAGCGCAACTTTCTCTTTCTCTTTCCAGCCCCCAGGTGAATATTAAAGTTAGAGAAAACTTGTACCGCAATACTTTCTGACAAATGTATACGTTATAAAGATATTTGAGTATATAACGTATAACACAGATATATAGTATTTTTTAACAAAACGCTAAAACTTCGTGTATCGAATTTTTCTCCACAAATGCAATTTTACGTTACACAGCGGCAATTGTTAAAACAAATATGGAGAGTCACCTGCATCCTCTCAAGTACTCCCCGTTGCCATTAAACCGTTTAGACCTATCTCGTCTCATACGTGTTCTAATTCCTTGTATAAGATTACACACGTACACACAAACATTCGCCCAATTACACTAGCAAGAGTCATCATTTTATAGAATTCATTTTCTTTCCCATCCTTTTTTTCTTGCTCTTTTTTCTCCGTCTTTTTATTCTCTTTACTATATCATGCATTTCTTCACACACATACATATCGATAGCTAGTCATCCTCGTCGTTTTATGAATCTAAAAGTTAAAGTCCAAGACTACCAATTCCTCAATTAATTCCATTTAGTGTTATGGCAGATCCGGACCAAATTAGCCCGAGTTAGCACCACGACAGGTACCGTATATATCCTGCCGCGAGATGTGTGTGTGTTATGTCCTTTGCATTTTTTTATTCCTGAGATTATATCAATCCCCCATTTTACACAACAACCACCGGATCGAACCCAGTCGAAAAGTCAATGAACGAGCGTCAGACGTTCCGTGAATTTCAAGTGTCAGACGTTACCGTCCTTGATGGACGGACGAAGATTCACGTCTCGGAAGGGACTACTACGAATCTCCTGTCTGTTCCGTAGTATTCGCATTCATCGAATCGTGTTGCAAGATGCGGATCACAACCCGAAAGCCTCATTAAGAAACTTCTCGAAACAAAGCACACTTCCTAACACTTGCACACGACACACTGTACAACGTTCGATTTGTAGCGAGTAAAAATTGTTTGAATTTCTCTTCAAGATGTACACTCGTAGCGAAGATCACGCGAGTAATATTAAGTTTGATCGTAAGCTAAACGCACTTCTTAGAGTCAGTAGCGCGGAATATAAGCTTTGAGAACAAGAACGCGCGGGTATTGGAAAGAGAATTATGTTCGCACGCAATAACGACAGAAAGCATCAACGCGAAAGCGAACGCGTTTTTATCTTGTACAACAAGTCAACCGATGCGCATCACAATACGTGCTATATTTATTCATTTTCAAACGCGAAAATAATGTGGAAAAACGATAAAATTTCATTAGAGAAACGAAATTCGCTTTGACAGTGATTGAGAGAGCGTACCTTCTCGCGCCTCGAGTATCCGATTATAATCTGAGTTCAAAGACGCTCCTCGCTACACTTGATCTCGACCGACATCCTCTCTCATTGCATCCTCGTGCTCTCGACAAACCGCCTACTCTTCAACATCAAAGTTCTCAAGAGACTGAAACCCCCTCTTCCTCTTCGCCGTCTATCACACGGAGATCTCTTGAATCTGCACACGCTTCTTCGCGCTACCGGGTGTCCCAGGCTGCCGGAGGATTCCGGGGCACGTGAGACCGACGTTGGGTGCTGGAGCCTTGGGCGGGGGCGGCGGTTCCGGCAATTCCTCGTTCTCGTCCTCGCTGTCATGATGGCGAACGCCAACATCGCTGACCTCGTCCATCCGGGCGATAGTAGCGTCTACGCAGGGCGATGGAGTGCGAGTACGCTGGATGCACGGACTCTTGCTATACGATGGCGGCTCTAGGATTCGCTTGCCACCACCGGGCGGTGGCGAGCATTGGAATTCCTGCAGCTGCAGCTCGAGCTCTTGCACGAGTTTTGCCTTGTGCGGCGGCAGCATCGACGACGGCGAGTCTATCAAATTCATGGAGGGTGGTAGTCGCTGTTTCCCCGAGGTGTTCATGCCTGAACAACCGGCCTCCAACAGCTCCTCCTTTTTCTTGTTGCCGAAGGCACTGCCGCCGGACACGTTCCGGTCGCGCTGATGGTAGATCCCCGCGAAAATAAGAATGTTGAGCAACAGCAAAAATACACCCACCGCGATGGTGACCGTAAGGGCCGTGGTGTAACTCTGATAGTGGCTGGACGCCAGCTTGCGCAGAAGATTATTGGGAGCCGGACCTAAATTTGAGTGCTGCAACGTTCGCGAAGTTGTAGGCGTGATGGTCGTCGCGACGGTCGCGTTCGGGGTGCATTCCGTGGTCGAAAGCGCGGTAAGCATCGAGGACGGTTCCGTGGGGGATGGCATGGGTAGCGGGGGTGCCGCTAGAGGCACGGCCGTGCTCTGCGGACGCACCGGACCTTCGTAGAGGTTGGAACCATCCGCGAGATGATGATGTCGCATGTTGATCTCGTAGCCCGGCCGATGCAGCTGCGGCAGCAGGTTCAGCCAGAGGGACATCTTATGGCCTCTGTAGTGCGAGCGCATTTCCGGACTGTGGCCGGCCTCCAAGTATAACTGGTTTATAGAATCGTATGAATCCCAAAACGGCGGACTCGTCGTCAAACCGTTCTCCAGTCCGGAGGACAAAGGACTCGCGCCGTTTGGATCCCTAGAACAACGAGCGTAACCGCGACCCTTTGACAAGTGGATAGATATCTGTTGCGCGACTGATTTGACATTCTCTCCCGTTGTTGATATGTCGCCTGATTTTGATTTACGAAAAATTTTACATCAAGAATGTTTTCCAAAACAAAATAAAATAATAATAATAATTTATTTTTTATAATAATTAGTTTTTAACAATAATTGTTATAAAATAATTAATAAATATTGTTGTGTTATCACGACTAATTATTCATAATAATTGAGAAAGCTTCTAGATAAAAAGATAAAAAATTAGAAAGTTTTGCGTTGCGTGATCCTAAGCGAACGTCTCACGTCTCTATGCGATAATTCGCTATCGATAAAATTCCGGTGAGAAAATCCACCGTGTCGATGACAGGGTAATCATCCAGATAGCCACCGATCCGCAATTAGAGAAGCCAAAATCACTTCGCGTCTTCTCCGCTAACAACTCTACTCTACTTCGAGATTGCGAGCTTTCGCTGAGCGCGTTAACGGCCTTTGCGGGAGTTTGGCTCCAAAATCCTTTCACAGCTGTAACTTTACCCTACTACCACTACCAGCCTGCAGATTCTCCTCACGGAAGGTAATCGAAGTGTATGCGATGCTTAAGTTCTGAAGAACTTTGAACCGGGTGAATTAACGGGCGAGGTTCACTTATCCGATTAACCCTTTCGCACCTAGTTATTTCGTTCGCCGTGTCACCGATTAATGATAGTCGTACATTTTATTTAAAAAAATATTAATTAGATAATACGTTAATTTTTTGCGAGACTTTCGCAAACTTCATCATAATTTAAAAAATATGAAATATTTATATGTTTTTATATTTGTTACGAAACTTTGGAACTTCGTTTCCAAATATCGATATATATAATTAATGATATCAATTTAATAGCCAGAGAGAACAATAGGGAAGAGAACTTACCCGCGTTTCACAAAGTTAGCCAAGTAATGCACGAGTAGCTTGGACAGATTCTCGTCGGCGAGAGTGTAGTTGCCAAAGGCAGGTAGCGCGGACGTGACTTCCCCGCGGAGAAGAGGTATACCCAGGAGATAGGGTACTTCCTCGCCCCTCTGACTCGGTCGTTCAGCGGGCTGAAAGTGCAGGAAATAGCCCCGTCCCTCCGAGGCAGAGTGAAGTAGAGCCAGTCTGAGGAGCGGCGCGGCGACTTGGCCGTCTCCGAGGAGAGATAAGAGGCCCTCGCAGATCGCCACGGGACTCTGCTCGCCCCGCTCCCAGTCGGTGTACTCGTTCCGAAGAGTCGAATAGATTTCATGCAGATGATACCGATAGGTGTTCCGGACGTAAGTGCGCAATATACGATCCCTCCTAGTTTCGTTGAAGCCGTTCTGCGAATGAGTTGCCTGTTTTCACGACGCGGAAATAGTAGCCAATCGTACAAATGTTGATCCCGCAAGAAACATATATTTTTTTTTTTTTGTACTACAAATTTATCTTACAGTATAAAACAATTTCTTTTATTTGCTAATTATTATGAGATTATTATCGGAAGATTTTATTAGTGCAAATAAACAAATCATGTTTTTTGCAATAAATGCATCTGCGTATGGATTATTGATCCAAATACCATTGTAAAGTAGGAAGATGCATGTCATATACATATAATGCGACTCAGTGACCGTGACCATCGGAGAGTCAATAATATCCGGGACGATCGGAGAGACTCATAATGCGATCATGTAAAGCTCATCAATTTGTCAAATTATATCCCATTGATGTCAATTACATATTATGCACATGAAGAGTCGATCATTAATCAAGAAATCACTTCCGCTCAAATACAATTTTATCGATAAAATCGATACATAAATAAAAGAGCGTACGCAAATAATAATATCAGAAAAAAGAACAGATTAAAAAGTTCTCAACTTTTCATTTCTTTTTTTCTTAAACAGATATTATGAAATACTTTGTAAAAAATGATCCTTCAGCAAGAAGAATTGTAAAAACGAGCACAATACACGATACAGAGAGTTAACGTATTTCATATTCTTTTGTATGTATTTTTTTATCGGATGCTTTCCATAAATCAATTCACGCTGATGTAAAAATATGTACCTGTAAATCTTCCTCGGTGAAATTTACCCAGGCTTCCTCGGACGTCAAACCAAAGAGTAAATCACGATTGCCAAAGTCGGCGAATTCAGCGCCGGGCCCGGGTACGATCGGCATTAGTCCCGAAGAAGAGGCAGTGGGCTGAAAGTTCTGATGAAACGATTCTTTTAACGTTTAAGAATAAACGCGCGTATCGATAAACTTCACACGCAACACTTTCATTTTAAATCCCCCCCGTTTGTTCTCTCTCCATCCATGTCGTTGAGCTAAATAAATCTCTATCAATCGGGAAATATAATAAAAAGATTGTGCGTTGCAATTTTATTTCCTCATAATATCAAATATTTAGCTCGTATCGTATGTTTGATCGTAGATAAAAACGAAGAAGAAGATTTTCGATAGAGACATTTGATTTTTATTATTTTTCTTTTTTTTACACATTTTCAGTAGTTTATGTTCAGTAGTTCATTCGTCTTTTCCCATCCGCGTTTACCATCATGATATGCGCGACGGGTGCGAGTAACCAGATAGACTATCAACGGATGAGTTAATGGAGCATGTACGAAGTACTAGCTATTACGAATTCTCGAATCCGTCATCCGTCAACCGGCTGCCCGTTCAATTAGCAGATTCATCGTTTACTTGTCGTCTCGTTCGCTCTTGCGCAAAATCAATACGCCGGCCGTCGATGTCAGGCTAATATCCGCATACTATTGCAACATTTGCGAATTCCGTAATTATCTAACTGAAACGTGCATCGATGCCAACGTTTGTTTAGCCCTATTATATTTATTTACGTCGCGTATCAAGCGGTATAGAAATGCCACGCGTAATTTGCGTTTAAACAGCCCACGCTAAACGACATATATCTCCACGGAACGCGGAGAATGTAAATGCAAATTTTATGAAAAATGATTTAACATCCAAAGCGACGCGAAACTGAAACACTGCGTTGGACGTCCCAAAACGACAGATAGCATTAGCGATGTCACGTACAAAACAAAAATGCTAGAAAAATATTATTATGATATTTTTATTTATTTTCGCCAAGATATCAACTTTAATCTCAGTTTATAACTGATTCACGGTCTCCTTCCAATATCAATTCAAAAATAGATAAACATTCAATTAAAAGTGCAATAAAAATTAAGAATAATGAATAATGTTTTAAAAAAAACGAATAACCGAAACAATCGAGCAAGGTATTATAGATCATAAAAATAAACGGAAACGGTGCATCACATACTATTTTTCTTATCTCAAGACTATCGATTATCGAGGCAAATAGTCTCACCTGATTGATGGTGGGTGGTAGAACGGCCCCGTCGATAAAGGGTGCAAATCCGGAAGTGAATCTCGGCGGATTCAGCTCTACCTCCAGTAGCTCATCTACGCTCCTTAAACGAAGGCACGATGCGATATCGTCGGCTTCGACGTCGCCGGGACATTTGATTTCTTCGGCGACTCGTCGCTTCACCATCAGCGGATCTCGCTGGACCGCCCATGGCGAGAGAGCCGAACCACCGAGCAAGATCACCCTCCCGATCAATTCTGCAATTTGTTCGAAAAGGCTCCCGCTCTAATCACGACATAACTAATAAAAAAATTCAAGAATGCCTGATGAATCTCAAATCATATTTTACGAGCAGCAATTTATATTTAACATATTTTATATTAGCGTTTCATTATTTTAAAATCCAATATTTTGTAAAAACAGATTAGCCTTTTATTATTTTGCGATACAAAAGCTTCCGGATTTTAAATATTTTATTAAATTTTCCCTCTTATTACTCTATATATAACAAGCTTAAACACGATTATACCAAGAAGTGAATGAACCAATTCCAATTAGCATATTCCTCTTTACAGACGGTTGCGCCAACGTCAGTCAAAGTGTTTAAACATAATCAAATCAATTTTCCTCCTTTGTAAGCAAGACTACAATTTATGAGAGAACTGCGACTCAGAACATTCTGTCTCGTAATCTTATCCATAATACGGATAAGAAAAAGGAATGTTATCAATCTCTCTTCTCGGGGGATAACGGGGGATAACGTATTCATAAAATGAAGCATAATGTAAAGCGTAAAAAATCGTTTTTACCTGAATCAATCAATAACTAAAAAAATCAAGTCTACGGACACATGTTGCTAAAAAAAAAAAAACTTGTGACATATGTTTACACAGTCTGCGCTTTTATATAAAATGTGTAACAGATATATGCAAACGTCAGCTGCAAATGCAACCGATGGCGTGTTAACAACCGTTGACTGACATACGCGCAATTCGCCGTTGGCCGCGAAACGATTAAACGCCTTACCTTTCGCCATAGGGGAGACGGCTAAAAAATTGGCGAGAGCCGCACCGGTACCGTGGCCCAGCAACGCCAGTCGCTCAGGATCACCGCCGAAAGCGCCGAGATTCTCGCGCAGCCAATGAAGTCCTGCCACCAAATCCATCAATCCATAATTGCCTTGCGCGCTCCCCTTCGTTCCGGTTTTCAGGAAGCCTGTTAATGTCAATGCGCGTCTAAATTAGGAGGGCGATTCATTTACACTCGCTAGGCGAATCGCGTCGATACGCACACCGCTACTTTGTACTTTACTACTCGACGAGATGCGTACTATTGTTATTTTAAGGAAATGAAAATTATCATTGAAAAAGCTTTGTAGAAGTTAATTCGATATTTCCGGTGAGAAAATTCCTCCCTATTTTGAGAGGGTTACTTTTCTCACCCATCTTTCCAATGAATACAATGGAACAATTGAATCTTGCACTAATTGCGAATTTCCACTAAAACTCGAATCTAATTACTTCTAGTAGTTATTTTAATAGAAAGAAATACTTGATCTATTTAATTATTATCAAGTTAGTTATCATTGTAGAGCGAGAGAAAGCCAAGATATCTACGTATGTATGTAAACGTAGTTATTGTCATGACGAATGAGGGAGATCGGAGGATAAAACCGGATTAAAATTAAACATTTGCTCGCCGGCACTCAATCCCGCTTGCTTCAATTTGCTATACCGACTCTCCTACAGGCTTGTCACTCTGATTCGCCATCTGCCTGCGAGGCGAGTTTTTCATTCCAATCCGATTTGCCTTTTAATCCCATTCACATATTCGTTGGTATACTAGTGCCAAGTCTTAATTACATTCGTATTTATAATACCAGAGAGAAATATCGTGGAGTGATATCAAATCACGTAAATAATATGAAATAAATGTTTCTACTGTTATATTAATAAAAAATATACATTTTATGAGAAATATAAAAGCAGATGGTTTGTCTCGATAATTATCATGTATTTAATTATTTATTTATTCTATCACGTTGCAGCGATGCGGAATCGATTAAAAATATATTTAATATTTACAAAGAAGCTATCAGTATTAATGGATATGTTAACATAAATATAAAAGTAAATGGTACCAAAACAATAAAAAAGCACGACTAATATAAACGAAATAGCAAGAAAAAAAAACGGAAGAAAATGGAATCGGCTGACCGCGCGCAATATTGGATAACGCTACAGGCATTGTTTCGCTTCAATGATGAACAAAACACATACGGAACTGCAGCATACCGACAAAGAGGAACGCAAAACCCCAACTCCGGTATAGCGAAAATACGGCGTATCGATATCGAAAATTGTTCCACTGAATGCCTTGGGCTTCTTTTATGAATGGGAAAACGGTGTTGTAAACACGTCTGCATATCTTTCGAATAATATCGTTGTTTATCGTTTTATACATGATTAGACACGCACTCGAACCTTTAAACATCGCACCTCCAAAAATACCGTGTAAAAATAAATACAGATATACACTATTGTAATGCGCAAAAGACGCGATATAAAAATCGTAAAATTGCAAAACAAAAGTATAAATTTTTTAAGTAAATTAACGCAAAATTGTTCTTTCAGTTTTTCACGGTATTATAGAAAAAAAGAACGATATCCAAATAAATTCCATTTACGAATTAATTAAAAAATGAGAATACTAAGTGGGGAAACTGGCAACTAAGAATCAAAGCGGGGTTATTGGTGCGGAAACCCTTTGTTGTTAAATTTCATTGATAAGTATGCATTAAAAATGTACGTTTTGCACCGTTTTTTGTTTCATAAGCATATAGATTTCTTAAGCATAGATAACAAAATATAAAATTCAATTATGTATTAAAAACTTTAACCTGTGCAATACAATGAAAAATCCAAATTGAAATGAATAAATGACAAGCGACTCACCAAAACCCAGGTTAAAATTTTTAATAAGTTTTTAACAAAATTAATTTTTATATTTTGTTATCTATGCATGGTTATCTATGAAGATAGACCAAAAAACGGTCCGAAACGTATATTTTTAATGCATACTTGTCAATAAAATTTAACAACAAAAAGTTTGCGCACTAATAACCGCGCCTTGGCTCTTATTTGCCAATTTCGCCACTTGCGATTAGTATTGTTAGTACTCTAAACCTATTGCTGCTATTATTAAAAAATGCCATTTATTGAGAACTCAGATAAATTCGAGCGAGATCAAATTCGTTTCGTTTTTTTTTTTCGCTGCAGGAATGTCAATAATATTTCACACGGTCATTCTTGCAACGCACCGCGGTTTAAATTACGCGCACGATATTTAGCAGACGCTCAAAAAGCCGTGCGACCATGCGATAAACGAGCGCGAAAATCTACTCGCACGGAAACACCCGGACCTTATGTATCCCCTTCTTCGTCCTCATTAAACTCCCTTTGTTTCTTCCCCTTTGTTCCCATTTTTAATTTTGGCACACGCACACGCACGACTGCCTCGAAAATGCACTTTATAACTCATTGCTGTTATCCATATTCGAGAGATGGATATTCGTCACGTTTTTAAAGTCTCAACTAACGCGCGCATAGATAACAACCCTCGAAGGAGAGAATTCCTATATACAACCGCGCGGAAAGTAATCTGGTAAGATTTCGATAAAACTTTTTTCCCTTGACTGCCGCGAGTAATGAGATCATTCTTTTAAGTTTGTGAAAGAACAAAAGAGCTAGTTGTGCGCACGTGATAAACAAAGCAAGGTAAACTTGATTTATTTTATAATCCGAAAACTTTCTATCAGCTCTTTCTCTTGCACACAAAATAGAGAGTGTTATCCGATTATCGCGGATTGTTCGCCATTGTTGTATGCTTAAGACAATAATTTCTTGGCACACCACGCGCATTTATTGAATACTGATTAAAGTATCAATTTGTTAATCGTCGAGAGATACTTTCATCGACTTAAGAAAATGGTCGCTCCAATCTTGTGATTTTTTGCGTAAACGAAAGACGAGATTAAAATCATTGTATATATATTTCATTATTATTATTATTATTATTATAACGCATATTCTTAAATATAAGTTTTTATAAATAACGGATAAGAAAAAAATCTCATTTTCTGACAAAGCGACGTAAGCAACAATTCTTTCAGAGACGTTGTTTTGTCTTTTCGCAAAGGATTGTAGTAAACATGAACGGTTGCAAACGATCAAATCAGATAACCGCAAACGTTTGCAAGGCGTAGTTTGTGTTCTGAAACGGCAGAAAATTGAGATACTTTGTCTCAATGAATAAATGCTACCAGCTTACCAAGCACACCAAGACGAAAATTGATGGAGACGACAATAAGACGTCCGTGAGCGGCCAGGGCGGTTCCGTCGAACAAATTTCCGGCACCCCAGGAATAGGAATCGCCATGAATGAGAAGGAGAGCTGGCAGCGAATCTGCGATACTACCTGCAACACCAGAAAACATTCTACCACAACATCTGTCTACGAATATTCATGATAAATGTATAAAAAATAGCTAAATATAATAAATGTAAGAAGTTTTTGTTCTTTATAAAGTAATAAATAATATGCTTTATCCAACATTAATTGTAGCTTCATGCATCGATTCTCTCCATCTCAGATAACAGAATATATTCAACGAACAAATACTCGTCGTCAAAGTTAATAAATATCATATTGTCTGAGTCATGTAATTCATATTGAATTAAAATCTCTTTTGATTTCGGCGCTGTATATTTTCATAATCTCCTTCATTAATCTAGACGTCAAATATTTGATGGTAATTTAAGTTACAATCTGTGAAATACAATCCCTTTTGATCTTAATATATTCTCTGTCAAACAATATTAGGTCAGCTAAAAATATTAACGTAATGCTGATACACAACTATAATATGATGACAATTACGTTTCTTAAAAACTAGGTATTGCCAGATAAAAATGTTGAAGCACCCAACCAAAGAACGGCTTTTCTACGCGCGAAATGCGTCTTATAGATTAAACTTATATAACTTTATAAGCCCATTGCTTATATATGAATACGATTATGAATACGATACCGTTATCTAATTCTGAGCTTTTCAATCATACATACATATTACCTATCATTAATTACGTTACAAAAAATAGATCACATGGAAAATATCTTCCGCTTCCTATATGATTTAAATAATTATAGCATATGTTTTTGACAAGTATTATAAGGCCAATCCATTTTCAATATTTCATCTACATAAAAGAATGTAAATTTTACGATACATATATGCAAATATGGTTGAGCAATTCAAATATTATAAATTATGAATTAAAAATTTAGCTATATATTCAAATGAGAAATATTGATTTATACATAAATAAATATTGAAAAAATATTTTCATGAAATTATTCTCGTTGTATCTAGCAGATCAATATCTTTCTCTCTCTCTCTCTCTCTCTCTTTCCTCTCTGTCAATCACGATGTCCGTAACGCAACCGCAATCAAAATATAATCATTCCGAGAACAAACTATCATGTGTTGAGTTTAGTGATGGCAGGCGAGACACCTGTTGCGATTCTGATAGCGCATGCTAAACGACAGATAGTTAAGTAGGTGAACGAGGCAACGACGTCACCTTCGTGATTTCGAACTGTGCATGTTTTTCCATTGAAAACTGCAAAAATCTGCATGCCTGCTCCTATCTGCCTGTTCGCGATTGTCGGATCGTATCTCGAAACTTTTACGAGCGACTCGGTATTTTTATTGCTTCCTCGGTGTCGACTCATCTTTGTTGCGCCCGATTCGTTCTGAACTTATAAAATGTAGATTTTTTTACGAGTAGTAGAGTGTGATATACTATCTTTTTAATAATTTTTTAAATAATCTTGGATCTTTACTGCGCTGTATCTTTTTTAATCTGTTCGGGGGAATAATAATATTCCGATGGTTACTTTAATTTTAAAAAATGTATAAAAGAGTTGTACCATATAACTGAATATAATTTAATAATTTTAATAATAAAATTCTTTCAATCTGATTTTCTTATTTATTGGATATTTATTGAATAAAAAAGAATAATTTTTTCTTCTTTATTCAAGAAAATTGTGGCTCATATAGAGATAAATATCTCGTTAAACTTTTACCAACGTTTATCTATTAGATTATTTTACTTAGTGTATTTTCTTGTATGTCGGTCAAACTTTCAGGAAAAGTATCTGCTTCTTATTTCCATGTCTTTCTCAGAACTCCAACTGGAATCGTAATAAGATTATAATCTTATATTACAAGAAAAATGGTTGAAATTCTGGTTCCGCACGTACGAAGCGTCGTTTCACCGTCACGCCGAGTCTCTACATTCTAACTCGGCGTATAATATGATTATATTATACATGTTGAGAAGGGAAGGTAAAGATACGCGGACCAATAAATTTATAAGGATGTTAGCGGAGATTCGGAAACAAGTAAGTTTTTTGAACAACCCGACATATATTAGTATCAAAGTTTGCTCCTAATGCGAAAAGGTCGTTATCTCGAAGTCTTAACGAGAGATCGCAAAGTCGTTATCGTGAACTAAAAGCAATTTGAAGACATTCCACGGCGTTCGATCGTGAAGTAAAAAATGGCAAGCCGTTATGTATGTCCGTTAAATTGGCTTCTATATTACGCGAGATGTCACAGAACAATCGATATTCTTTCCGCTTTTTCGATTTTTGATTTCCTTTTTTTTTTTTTTTTTTTAATTTTCTTAGCTAAATTTTCATGTAAAAGTCCGAATTACAAGAATATTTGGAATTGTGTTCATCGAAAGCGGTTTTTTTTCTAAAACTCTTTCGCTAAAGGAAGAGAGATTCAAATGTTTACATTTAAAAAGTCTTGTTAAGTCAAATAAAATTAAATTAAAGTTTTTCATCAACTTTTTTAGATTCTATTCTTAGATGCTACGCATCTATCACGGATAACAATCGATCCTTGACTGTAAGCTGGTGTCGATAGGTACAAGAGAATCGATCCACCCGCATAAGCGTCGGGATACTTGTGATGTCCTCTTCATTGTCTCTCCTCTCTAGATTAATGTCGCAGTAGCCAGAGGAGGAGAACGTCGATCCGATACGAAGCCACCTCACTCCCGCGGTGCTTGCAGGTTCTCTCACGTGAATCGAATAATCGACTGCAATGCACTACGGAATTGAGGATGCAACGCATCCTTACACTTGCGTTCCTTTTCTCTCTCTCTCTCTTTCTTTCTTTCTCTAGAACATTTTCCTTCTCTCTTCCTCTATCTCGTTTCGTCATCGCTTTATCTTGTTCTTCCAATACCTGGGTGCTTCAAATCCCTTTGGTCCGCTTCATTTCTTCTCGTATGCAGCATCTACCTCGCCATTGTGCGGGCAAGGCATCCTGGTTTCTCATCATTTTCTAGATAAAAGTACGCTTTATTCTTTCATTCTTTACAGCAACGGATTCCTCACACGAGACACGCGAGTACGCACAAAGGCGAGGGTTACTCGATCGGGGAAACGACAGGCGCGATGAATTCGATGCTCCTCTCTCGCTTCATATCCCGAATATTATTTTCACTGACTTATATTCACACTCTCGAAGCGCTCTCTCTCTCTCTCTCTATCGAAGTATATGCCATGATATATTATATTAAACCTATCTACATCGAATTTTTCCGCGAGTGATCGCGTCACAAAGAATAACGGTTGCATGTGCGAGCGCTGCATCGCGCAAGTGCTGACATAAACGAAAAATAATCGACAGATACGAGGCGTAAACAAATTTAACGATACAGAGAATAAAATATCACATCCATAAGATTACACAAATACATGAGTATATTATAATTTATAAATAATAAAGCGAGATATTCGTCGTTTTTTCTATATAAATTTGAAATTTATCGAAATTTAGAAACCTATATATTTATGCAGTACAAGTATGGTGATTTTATTTTCACCTTATATACATAATATATTAAATAAAAAATACTCGTATTAGTTACAATTACACGTAAACATTAATCGCAGATTATAACTATTTTCCTGTTCACAAAATAACTCTATTCCTGGATGATATAGGTGACAATATAGATGAACGATACAAATGGTATGCATTTAGGATGAGCTATCGTCCAGAGTTACGAGCTCTCGTCGTCGCGTTGTGTAATAACAGATGTAGGATATAACCATAAAAGTAATTTCGCGACGATGATCCAAGAAACGAAAAAGTTCTCTGTCCGCCGAACAAACGCAATACCGTTAAAATAAGCACGAATTTCGCATGATATACGACGTATTACGCATTCCTCCTTGCGCAATCTATGTTTTATTCGTAATCGCGAATGATTCCATATTTCATTCGAAACGAAACTCTTATTCCAGTTATGTATTTACGGATTACGCTTTCAACGTAAGATCAACATTTTTTAATGCAAACAAAATCGAGATTTTTAAATCTCCACAGAATCGTCGCGCGTCTCGTTCTTCTCATCCACCTTGTATGATAAATTTTCTTTAAACCGAATTAAAGAAATGTTATATATTACTTCTGTAATTCTAATTTTTTGCTCGCTTATATTAATGTCCGCGGTTATTAATCCGGATTCGATCAAAATTAATTTAAATTTGGAAAAAATATTACGCTCGCAAACAGCATTTCGATAACGTGTTCCATCCGCGCTTGAACTTTATCGATGATATCCAAGAAGATCGAAAACTAAGCTGCTTACGTGCAAGTAATGGTGACGGCTGCACTCGTCGCTCGGTGAGAGACAAGCGATGAGAAAAAGTCGCGAGGAAAAAGCGTTCACTCCCATAAAAAGCAGCAAAAGAATTCAACGTGCGAAGGAAGCAACGACGGATCGTTCTCTTTAATCCGGCTGAAACGTCGGATAGTTACGGCTTTTTATTCGACGGCATAATAGCGCGCGGGCCCTCTACGCGAAAGATCCCGTGGAACAAAACGGAAATATCGTGGATCACGCGCGAACTTCCGTCCCGTACGTGCGCAATCTCCGCTCGATCGCGCCTTATGACAATAATGGGCGATTTTAATTTTAAGTAACCTTTTATCCGATCGATCCCTCGCCAGCGTTTATCTTTCATTAAGACCTATATCCCTTTTGTCAATATACATATATTCAAGGCGTGTTTTCTTTTCACAAAAAAAATTCTCTTCGCCGAATATCTATATTTTCCTATTGAAAATTTAAATACATATCGTTCTCCGAAGATACAATAAAGTCAAATTGTTTGAAAACTGAAATAGGTCAGTCAGATCCACGCGCGCAAGCGAGAATATTACGAAACTGTTCGGCAAATCCGGTCAAATCCTCGTCCAAAATTTATCACAGGATGCGCTCCTCTGCTGTTGATTTCCATATCTATGATCCGTACATTGGTTCACATTCATGCTTCACATCTGTAAGTCTCGCTGTAGGTATTTGCAATCAGGAAACCGTCTCCAT